CAAGTTAATACACTTTATTTTCTGAAAATACTAAAACAGAATTATTTTTTATGTATAATTTATCATTTTCATATACCTTTCCTGAAGTTCGCAATGCCAAGAGGTCAGTGGCAAGCTTAATTAATAATGAGGCCTATTTTACTTATCTTCACACGGGCATGCCGTCTTATCGAGTTGAATTCTTTCATTATCGACTTTGTTTAATTCGAGCACTTTTCTTATAATTAGAGGATAAGAAGATTAATTGAGTACTTCTAGAATCTAGATAGTGCGATGGAGATTAGACCAGAAACACTGCTAATTCAAAGAATATGTTCGCAACCCTTCCGTACTTTTCACCTCTTTCCAATCTATATGTATTGGTCTCTTGACCTGTAAGTTTCAATTCACAGTCAAACGTCAAAAAATGAGACCTCTCCGTGCTTTGACGCTGATTCATTGATTATTGTCTGTAGATTAACTTTGCATGTATGTGATTTTAATAAAAAGGCTGTGATTAAATTGACAGCCATCAGAGAAAAAGGCCCAATTAATGATAATGAAAAGGCGAAGTTGATCCTCTAATATAATTGTCTGGTTAATTTAAGCTCCGAAATAGGCCTCGGATCTACCTCATCAAACTCAAATCACATCATTATTGAATGGTGTGGTTGTTATTATTAGTATAAATATGACCGCTTACTTAACCCTTGATGTTAATCAATTATATTTTTAATCATAATTATATTGATAATTGTCTTTTCACACGTATATCGATCTAACAAGTTTATCCCGTTTGAAGAGTGTTGCTGCATATTATTTGGTAAATATTGGGGCTTTTCTTTTGTTTGGTGATTGAATTTGTCTAGTCTAATCCAAGCGTTATATTATATGGATGCTTTTTTGGATGGTTGACGGAAGAAGTGAATATACAAAGCATATCAGACCTCTCAGGCAAATGAATATGCTTTGATTATTAGCTTTGGCAGCGGATTGATCCATTTGGAAGCTTCAAGCATTCCTTGACGTTGACCAGATGGGCTCTACTTCCCAGAAATGCGAAATACATTTAAAACTTGCTAAATTATTTTGTATTTTTTTTGGTTGTCTTTCTGTCGAAAACAATCCTCAAACTACAGTAAAGTATTAAATATGGATACTTTACCTAACAGAGATTTGAAGTGGAATAATCAAAAACCAAGATGAAGAATATCTCTTATGTTAAACAGTCTATAACATGAAATTACAATGCGATATATACACTTGAATATATAAATTAATGAAAATTGAAAGGGGTGACTTTTACACAAGGCTGTGATTATTTTCTTTTTAACTCTTGGTATAAATATGAGACAGGGGGAATATTGTCTATCCACGCACGTAAACAGTTTAGCAGTGAATGAAAATAGATATCATGCAACAGCCTTGCACTATAAGAAAGAAAAAGAAAAGATGTAGTAATTGTGAGGGTTGGGATACTGATGAAGAGTGTGTGTCTCTGTACACGTGTGTGTGTGTGTGTGTACAAGCGTACGTATATAAATAATATACTCTATATGAATGTGCTCAAGTCTGCGTCTCTGGGCTTCAGGCTTCTTAAGTGCTCACCTGTTATAAATGCAGAAGCACATGGAGGGGTCTCCTTGCAGCTGTTTCTGCTATTTTTATTATCCATTAAATGAATGGCTAGTAGACGCTAGGACGAATTAATAGTATTTTTTCCCCAAAGCTTGTCCTTTGGATTAAACAAATGTCTGGATATTATATTTCGACGAATCTCGATCTTTTGATGTTACAGGAAAAACTCTCTCATCTTTTGGATCTCTCTGTCCTTTAGATTTTCTCATCTCTTCGAATACGTAATCAGTAATGTTCCTTACTTAGCTAGATAACTTGTCAGCTTAATCACATTAACTATATTCACGAAGCATAAAATATTAGATCGATATCAACAGGGCGGAAACTTTAGAGGTTGTAGGGGTTATGATTCAAAGGAAAATCAATATCCTTTGCTTGCAAGAAACAAAATGGCGTGGAGAAGGAGCTAAGGATATTCAAGGTTTCAAACTTTGGTATACAGGAAAAGTAAGTGCACGCAATGGAGTAGGCATCATTATAGATAATGAGTGGAAGAAGAACGTTGTAGAAGTTAGCAGAATTGGAGACAGAATTATTTCTTTAAAAATGATAATTGGACGTGAGACTGTTAATATTGTTAGCGCTTATGCGCCGCAAGTCGGGACAGAAGCCAGTCTTAAGGAATTATTTTGGGAGGATCTGGAGGGGTTGATTCGACACATACCACAGAGTGAAAAGATTTTTATTGGAGGAGACTTTAATGGGCATGTCGGGAGGGAAGCTGGTCAGTATGCGAGGGTGCATGGTGGTTTTGGTTTTGGAGAGCAAAACAATGAAGGGCAAACTCTTCTTGATTTCTCATTGGCGTATGATTTTAAGATTGCCAACACTTGTTTCAAGAAGAGAGATGAGCATCTCATCACTTACAAAAGTGGAGCCTCAAGGTCGCAGATTGATTTTCTTTTGGTTAGGAACACAGATAGAAAACTTTGTAAAAATTGTAAGGTGATCCCTGGAGATGCTGTAACGACACAACATAGGGTCCTAGTCCTTGATGTGTGTATTATGAGTAAAATCCAAAAACGTCGACAAGTAGTAACACCAAAGATTAGGTGGTGGCAATTAAAAGGTGAGAAGCAAGATATTTTCAAGCGAAATCTTTTGGATAAAGGAATTTGGGATTCTCAGGGAAGTGCTAACATCATATGGGAGGATATGGCTAAAAAGATACGGGAGGTTGCAAAAGTAGTTTTGGGAGAATCGAAAGGTTCTGGTCCGAGAGATAAGGAGTCTTGGTGGTGGAATAATAGTGTACAGGACAAAATCAAGTATAAGAAGAACTGTTTTAAAGCCATACATTTGTGTAACAATGAAGAAAATTGGAAGAGGTACCGTATGGCTAAGAAGGAAACTAAGAGAGCTATGGGTGAAGCTCGTTCCAAAGCTTTTGAAGAATTTTATAAGAACCTTGAGACGAAGGAAGGAGAGCAAAATATTTATAAGATTGCCAAGAGTAGGGAAAGAAAATCAAGAGATCTAGAACAGGTAAGGTGTATTAAGGATGAAGAGGGAAGAATTTTAGTTACAGATGATGAAATTAAAATATATGGGAGACTTATTTTTCTAAACTTTTCAATGATGGAGAGGATTCATCTAGTAACTTGGAGGATTTAGTAACTGGTGAAGGAGAACAAAATTTGTCATTCTATCGAAAAATACGTGATAAGGAGGTAAAGGAAGCTCTTAAGAAAATGGCAAATGGTAGAGCTAACGGACCTGATTGTATATCTATCGAAGCGTGGAAATGTTTAGGTGAAGAAGGGGTGAGATGGTTAACTAAGTTATTTAATGTGATTTTACGGTCCAAGAAAATGCCTGATGAGTGGAGGAGAAGTACATTAATTCCTATTTATAAAAATAAAGGAGATATTCAGAATTGTACTAACTATAGAGGGATTAAACTCATGAGCCACACAATGAAATTGTGGGAGAAAGTAATTGAGCACAGGTTGAGATTGGAGACAAGTATTTCTGAGAATCAATTTGGTTTTATGCCAGGTAGATCAACTACAGAGGCAATTTATCTACTAAGGGGATTAATGGAAAAGTATCGTTGTAAAGATAAAGATTTACACATGGTTTTTATTGATTTGGAAAAAGCTTATGACCGTATACCAAGAGAAGTGCTTTGGAAAGCGTTGGAAAAAAAGGGAGTACGGATTGCTTATATTAAAGCCATACAAGATATGTATGAGGGGGTAAAAACTAGTATAAGAACGCCTAGTGGTCAAACAAAGGATTTTCCTATAAAGATTGGACTATATCAGGGATCATCTCTGAGTCCTTATTTGTTCAACTTGATTTTAAATGTTTTGACGGAACATATTCAAGAGGAAATCCCGAAATGTATGCTCTTCGCGGATGATATAGTTCTTATAGCAGAGACAAGAGAAGAGGTTAATTGCAAACTTGAGTTATGGAGGAGGACATTGGAGTCGAAAGGTTTTCGTCTGAGTAGAAGTAAGACGGAATATTTATATTGTAAATTTGGTAAAGGACTATTCGAAAATAATTTGGAAGTGAAATTGGGAGATCAAATTATACCTCAAGTGGAAAAGTTTAGATATTTGGGAGCCATTATTCAAAATGATGGCGAAATCAGTGGAGATATTTCACATAGAATTCAAGCTGGGTGGTTTAATTGGAGAAAAGCTAAAGGAGTTATTTGTGACCGTAAGGTGCCTAATAAACTTAAAGGAAAGTTTTATCGTACTGCTATCAGACCGGCAATGTTATATAGTAGTGAATGCTGGGCTCTAACGGGACAGCAAGAGCATAAAGTTGGAGTAGCAGAGATGAGAATGTTACGATGGATGTGCGGACATACACGTAAAGATAAAATTCGAAATGAGCACATACGTGAAAAAGTGAGGGTGGCACCTATTGAGGAAAAAATGGTAAAAAATCGGTTGAGATGGTTTGGGCATGTACAAAGAAGACCAAGGGAGGCACCAGTGAGAAGAGTGGAACATATAACTTTGAGTCCGATTAAGAGAGGTAGAGGAAGGCCTAAGAGAACACTCTTGGAAGTTGTTGAACGTGATCTCTTAATTAATAATATTTCTAAAAGCTTAATAAATGATAGAGCACAATGGCGTCTTGCAATCCATGTAGCCGACCCCACCTAGTGGGATAAAGGCTTGTTGTTGTTGTATCAACAGGGCGGAAACTGCTCGAAACTTGTATATAACACACCATGGCATGTATATTTTATTTACGCACATTCTTGCAACCATTTTGTTTCCCGGCAGTTCTACTACATTGAATGATACTAAATTTGAAATTTCCATGTTCCATCACCGAGAACTACTCATTTGAATTTTTCAGTTTTGTAAACAAATGTACAGATATTTTTGAGTTGAAAGTGACAGAGAGTGGCTGAATTGTGATAATCATATCAGTTATTCGACATGATATCTAGGACAGATTCAATAACTGCCAACACCGTACTATCTTGGGTTGTGTATTTTTTTTTTTTTTCCAAGTTCCTATTCTTATGCTTAGGCAAAGTTAAAGTGAAGAGTGATGAAACATTATGAAATGAATCTCCCCCATACACAAATAAATCTAAGCAAGTGGGACTTGTTATATCTTGTGATCCACCTTGTTCTTCACTTCACTTCCCTACCATTTAGTTACCTGCATCCAATAGCTGCCTCAAAAGTGCCCAAACTATATCATCTTAATCAACTTGTCTTCTTCTTTCTCTTTGTTTGATCAAGTCGACAGCTGGCGATGAAGAAACAATTTCAAGGTTACGAGAGTATGATATGCTATTTCTAAATCTGGACTCAAAATTATCAACAGATTACGCGATACTGATGAGTATGTTACTAAGATCGATTAACATAATCATGGGTCATGTTCCGTATATAGTCCAATTTTGAAAGAACACAGAAAAGCAGAAAAGGAAGGGGAGAATATATATATACACAAGTATGACTTAGCCAAAATAATTAACCAGCATGGACAAAGGAACCAAGCAGAGTCCCCTTTCCTTCAAGTCTGTGCAGTCAATAGTACTCTCTGCCTTTAAACTCCCTTCTTCTTTCATCATCATCTTTCACCGACTCTGAATAATGTTCTGCTCCTCTGAATTCCTTGGCCTGCACAACCATCGACACAAGCCACACGACTCGGTTTTAGGACATGGAAGAACCCTTCCGCTTTTATTTTTGTTTGGCTATTAAAGAAGAAGGGAATGGCATGAATAAATCAAATTCCGGGTTTACCATAGAAGCAGCAACATCCGGTTGAAGATCATCAACCTTTCTGGAAATCTTTTCAGTCGGATGCAAGTTCCCAACCTGATGGTAAGGATGGCGAATTTGAGGGAAAGAAGCAGGAGAAGAAGAGTTAATGATAAGAGACGAAGAATTGGAGAAGAAGGGAATCAGAAAGCAGGGGAATGATTAATGAACATGCCTTGGGACTATTGACGGGGGAGCTAGCAGTGTCCTCGAGAGGGTCATCCTGAGATATCTGTTTGGTTCTAGATTTCTTGAAAGTGAGCTTACGAGGAAGATGATGGGGGTGCGAGAATTTCCAAGCAGCAGAAGAAGCAGCATCTGAGAGCAGAGAAGAGCCACCAACGCTGAAACAGGAAGCGTTGGAGAGATCTTGCAAGTAAGAAGTCCAGCCGCTTTCCTCGGCAGAAGGGTGTGGAGCTTGGGACATAGAAGGAGCGAGAGAGCGGTCCATCTGGGCATGAAAAGAAGGGAGAGGAGAAGAAGAGGAGGGATTTATAAAAGAGAAAGTTAAAGGGTGATGAGGACTGGAGAATTGGGACTGGGAGGGAAAAGAAAAGAGAGAACGTGCAAAGGGAAAGGGACGGAGAGCAGGGGGTTGACCTTTGCGGTTCACAAAGGATTTTCGCTAGGAATTGGCAGCCCATGACTCCCTTTTCAACCATTCTCAATCAATGAGCCTATATAACAAACCCTCCTTTTCATATTTGGACCCATTCAGCAATCCCATACCCCGCCTGATTGATTAATTGTTATTACATGTCCACGCTGCCCCCAGTACAAGTTTTTGCCTAACAAGCAGCGACACTCCCACACACCTTGTTTCAAAATCAGTAGTGAAGGATGTCCTCTTCTTTTATCGTGTTCTCTGAGCATTAGAATATGCACATCTGTTACTACCAGCAACCTAGGCCTAGCCAGTCGCTACACCCAGATTGTTTATATTTTGTGAAAAACTGAGAAATTCAGGCCCCCTGGCAATATCCAATTAGTGTATTTGATTTAATTGTCTACCTCTTTTTGTTTTTCTTTGAAGCTGATATCGTAAAACATTACCATGCCCGTGGTTATATAAGATTTCTGAGAGAAGTCGTAGAGTGAGATGGTTTGCTCACAAATTTGTTTAATCAGATCGGGGAACGCTTTTTTATGAAGTACAGCACATTCAGATTGCAGTTTCTGAATGTTAACAAAACGGGCTTTTATAATGGGTCCGGTAATATGAACTCAAATCTGCTCTGGTCCAATATGGAAATAGCCGTGTTTGGGCCTGGATTGAGGAGGGTTGGATTAGACAAAAAAACAGATTATGTCGGTCAAGTAAGGTTCGAAGCTAAACGTTACGGTTGGTCGGGCCAAGCCTAAACATGTATATTGTTTATTAGAAAAAAAATAATTAATATACATTTTTACAATAATTTATAAAATTTCCGAAGTCATTTTTAATTTTTTTTTATAAGTTTTTAACAAAAGCAAACTCAATCCTGAACCCAAGATGGAGAACTGTTGAGATAAATTGAGCGCCGGGCCTAATGGAGAATTGGGCAGGTGTAGTGTGGAGCCTAATCTTTAATTCCGTCGGGTGGGAAAGAGAGGAAAAGACAGCACAACTACAAAAGTGAAAGGAGTAAAGTGATGGCATGTACTGAATAGCCAGAATTGGGAAAAAGGAGCGAGAGTCCAAGTATCCCGAGAACTAGTTTGAATTCGACAAAAAATGTTTTCTTAAGAAACTTCAACAAGGTGCTAAAAATTAAAGGGGAAAAAGTGGCCTAACAAATTAGGATGTGCCTGCGTAAAACGAGAGCCCGCCAGCTGGGGCCCCATACCTTCTGGTCATGTCCATCAAAGTTTCTTTTCTTTTCTTTCCTTTTAAAAAAAAAAAGAAATTAAAACTACTAATTTTATATATAATTGAACCCAAGTGTGCCCACATAAAAGTATCGACGACTCTTTATAGAGGGAGTAATGACCTCATTGATTAATATAATTCAAGTATAATCTCCCTATCTAGTTCCTACTAAAGTAACCTACATGGGATCGGATGAGTTGAACACTCGGCTTTTCCCATTCTGAAGGCCTCTTGGTGCCATGAGGCCTGTAGGTGTATGATTTGACCAAAGTTGAGAGTGATCAATGCACCGTACCTTTCTGCATTGGGGAACAGATTGTGTACAACACAATTTTAAAAATGTATCATGTTTTATAGTTCAACCTTTTAACCTCTAACTTTTCTACGTGCTTAATTAATTTCTTTATTAAAATATAAGTTGATTGGTTTAATTTGATCAAAATCTATGTGTATGTGAACAAAAGAAACCACAACGCGTAATTCTAGTAAGATCCAAATCTTACTGTTTCGAGAAGCTAGATATAAGGAGAAAGCTTGTTAAATGAAGGGTTCTTTGGTTTGACCGGGAATTCTAATGCAGGGTTCTCAGATGCTTTTACTTTTTGAAGTGAAAGACGACAAACAGGCAGTTGCCTTTGCCCTCAGGGCCATGCAAGCTTGCATCACCCATGCCCTACCCCAAATGAACTTGCAATTTTGTCACATCCTATCTCTATAGTCTACAAAATTAAAATTTAAAGAAAAACTCATACAATAAATGGAAAGCCCATCTAAACCAGAAGATATTGTAAACAAGGGGAAAAGGCTTGAAAACGAAATCGCGCAGTCATACGCTAAAAGAGAAGGTGAATATGACCATGACATTTCCTCAACGTAAAATCAGAGATGTATATACCCAAAAGAAGATAAACATATACCATCCAACCTCTCGGTTTAGATTCACCTTGTGTTCCAATGGTTTAAACTCTGAGGGGAAAAGAGAGGGACGGATAGAAAGCTATGCGTAGAGACGCATGCATTCATTAAAGAGAGCTGATGGATGATATCACGAGAATTGTAATGAGTACGTAGGTGTGAGGAATTGATGGAGCAAAGAGAGAATGTTAATTCAAGTCTTGTGGGATCGTGAAATCATTCCTTTAATTAAAAACACAAAGTCGTGCTGGGTCGATGCAAGGAATTATTCATATGGCAGGACTTCTATCCAACAATAATATTATTAATAGAGGCAGAAGAGTTTAATAAAACGGTACTACAATCAAACAAGAGCTTGAGTTTCAATGAAAAGACAAGGACCACCTGAGCTTCTCTATTAATAATGTGGCGGATACGTAAATATCTCTCCATTTCTCTTACCTGCATCCGCATTCATTTTCAAGACTAGCAACGATTCTTTTTCAAAATGTATTGTTCTGTTGTTTTAAATATTTGAATTTGACTAGAACTGGCTCTACTTTGCTTAGCGACTTCTACATGCTATACCATTGACTCTAATCGCAACAATATAAATATTCGGTGTTTTTATGGTATCCAATATTGAGAGAGTTTGTAGACTCATTTTTAATTATGAGAAGATTATTACAATGTTGAAGTATAAATAAACTTAAAATGACATGAAAAGTTCTATATGCACTACATAAAGTTTAGCTTAGTAAATCGTATATAATAAAATATAAGGGCTCATAAATCCCAGCTTTAATTTAAAATCTGAAGTTAAGATGTAGTATATAATGCACATGCAGTATTCATTATCCATATTTAATTGATATCGCCCCTTATGGGCTTCGGTGCTTCCTATTCCCTTTGAATGAAGCTATGTAATAAAACAACTCAAATGTTGTCATGAATACGATCTGTGTATATTAATTAAAACATCATTTTCTGATTACAACCCGCAAAAGGACATGCATGGAGGAGGAAGGGAGCATTAAAATGCATGCAACCGGGACAGGGCATGCATTTTCATCAATAACGAAAGAAATGACGTTTTAATTTGACCAAAAAAATTAAAAGGAAAGGAAATTGGGTGATGGAACATTGATGATAACACCTTTTTATATTGGAATAATGGGTTTGTCAGGATCATTTAGACGTGGCGGCCGTGAAGTTTATAATTGAAGAAAAACGATGGCAGATGAACTAATTCGTCTCATATCAAATTGATCCCTGGTTAATTAATTTAATTAAAAAGGGGAAATAAGGTGGAAATTGTTTGGTAAAAATAAGGTAGGTAAACGGAGCTTTGTCGAGACAAGGATGAGCAAAATGAAAATAAATTATCTCACAGAGAAGGGGGTGGGGAAGCTTGAATAGCATACAGGGAACCGACAAGAAGAAGTTGACGCGCCAAGCCAAAAAACAAATTAAAGAACACATGAGAGGCAGCAATATATCTTCTTCCCATCTCAATTTATAAGATTTTTTTATGTAAAATCATATATATTAATAAAATTTATTAAATACATTTTATAACTTAATTTTTTAAAAAAATATAGCCTTCACGCACTACTTGATTTGTTAAAAAAAAAATATTAAAGAGAGAATATAATAAAAAAGATAATATTTAAAAATATAATTAATAAAATTCTTTTTGTTAATTACTTCTTCCAAATCACAATATAAGTTATATTTAATTAATTTACAATTCATGAATAATATTAATTGGAACCTTAAATTCTTAAAAATATTTACATCTTTTCATTTATACTTTCATTAATACTTTATATAAGAGCTTTAATAATAGTAATTAAAAATTTAATGTATATTTTTTTTCAAAATAGGGTTATAGTTAAAAAAAATAAATATAAAAACTATCTAATGCCTTATATTTTAAATTAAGTAAGGTTTTTAAAAGATATTATGATTTGGAGGAGTGTTTTATAATCAAATCTTTCTAAATATATCTTATAATTTGATTATGAGATAGGAAACAGTACAAACAGGATACTAGGATTAGAAGATGGGCAAAAAATGAGAGGAACCGAAGTAGAAGGCAAGAAAATTGGAAAGGGGAGAGGGTTGAGCCGATGGGGTAAAGTGGGGACAGGGAGAGTGCTAAGATCAAGAAAATAGGGGGACCCACACCCGCTGTAGTCATTGATGGAGGACACTGAAATTTAATCAATATTGTAATTTTGAAATTTGATTGCATTATAAAGGGAAATCCCCAAGTTCATGTTTGCATAGAAGCGAGCGGGAGCGAGTATTTGGAGAATTCAAACAGGGAAGGGATAGAAAGAAGCAAAAGAGAGCGAGAAAAGCATGAGCGGAGTAAATGGGATGACGCTTGAGAGTCCCTATGCCCTCTCCTCTTTTTCTCCTCCAATCACATAACCCCTCTTCCTACTCCCTCCTGTCCAAACAAATTATAAGCAACTTTTACCTCTAACATTTAATTATTTGTATAATTTTTTTCTTTTTACAATCTTAGCCCCAATTACCAGTAATGATTATTTATGTCAATAATTTTTTAATGAGGAAATGTCAAAATGATATAAAACTCGTCAATAGATTGCAACCAATGTGATAAATTCTCATGCTACACAATAAATTAGGTTAATAAATGCAACGGAAAAATGAAAAAAAAATCTATAAATGCTAAACTTTTTATATTTTATGGGAAAAAACAGCTTACCATATTTTACGCTTAGGAGTGTCAGG